TGGGTGGTCATGGCGTCTTGCTAGAGGCTAACCATGACTTGTGGTTCGGGAAAGGTTCCTAAAGTCACTACCACTTAGAATGGGCCTACAGGGTCACACACCAATAGGGATGGACTTATACATGAAGAATACGAAGAATGGAAACAAGATTTGACAGAAACGAGCATGAAAAGGAGTTTTCAGTGCGTTGGTCCGGAGCTGACCAAGTTTGGTCAGCCCCGGACCAAGTTTGGTCAGTCCAGGAGGTCCGGAAGCTCGGTCCGCGGTCATCTGTCCAGATCTGGTCCGGCTGACCAAGAGTTGGTCAGCCCCGGACCAGGTTCTGGGACAGGCGGACCGAGAAATGACAAGTCGGACTGAGCTGACCAAGAAGGGTCTTGGTCCGGAGCTGACCACACGTGGTCCGCCGGACCAATCCTTCAGGTTAGCCGGTCTGTGGCCTCGGACTAAGCTTGGTCCGCCAGACCAAGCTCCTAGTCCGGCGGACCGGGATCCGGAAATTTTCCAAAATTCGTTTTTAGGGTTTTCTAACCTTATTTAAGTTTGGGATTTCGTCCAAACTTAATGAGAGGCCGATCTAAAACTCAGAGAAACATCCTAGAACCCTAGAGAAGCTGTCGAGATTCCGAGGTCCTCATCAGGTGGTCATGGCGTCTTGCTAGAGGCTAACCATGACTTGTGGTTCGGGAAAAGTTCCTAAAGTCACTACCACTTAGATTAGGGTTTTCTAAGCTTATTTAAGTTTGGGATTTCGTCCAAACTTAATGAGAGGCCGACCTAAAACTCAGAGAAACATCCTAGAACCCTAGAGAAGTTGTTCTCTTTGATTTCTATTGTCCCGGGATTGGATCTCGTCTCGTGAGTTACCCTTTTCTTCACTAATCCTAGCAGATTCGTTCCAAATCGTTTGGAATCCTTCCCGTCGGTGTGGATACGTGTAGAGGAGCTGTACTTTCAGCTCTTGGTGATTTAGAACAGGCCCCGGATCGAAATAAACTTCAAGTCTCATCGAGAACGAGGTAAGTAACGATTCCCTCGGTGATATACACGATCTTTCGGGTTTTGCGAGTTTGGTTGCGTGTGACGTTTGACTAGATTTAGATCTTTCTTCCGCTGCATGAAACCTAGTAAACCAAACCCTAGATCGATATGATCACATGCTAGGAACCCGTAGATAACCCCAACACAATATGCACACCATCGCCTCGGGGAAACGCTCAGGTCGCAAATGTATCCAAACCCAATCTCCTTCCTTAATTTGGACAGCCTTGCGTCCCTTGTTCGCTTGGCGTGCATATTGCTCGGTCCTATGAGCAATGTTATCACGAACCTTTTGATGGAGTTGCTTAATAAATTCAGCCTTTTTCTCACCATCAAGGTTAACCATCTCATCGTTTGGAAGGGCTATGAGATCTAGGGGAGTAATCGGGTTAAACCCATAGACGACCTCAAAAGGGGAATGCCTTGTAGCGGAGTGTACGGCTCGGTTATAGGCAAATTCAATATGGGGTAAACAGTCCACCCAACTCCCTAACTTCTTACTGACGGTAGCTCGTAAAAGTGTTGACAATGTACGATTCACTACCTCGGTTTGCCCATCCGTTTTCGGATGACAAGTGGTGGAATAGACGAGTTTAGTGCCGATCTTTTTCCAAAGTGTCCGCCAAAAGTGGCTTAGGAATTTCGAATCTCTATCCGACACTATCGTCTTTGGTATACCGTGTAAGCGTACTACTTCCCTAAAGAATAGGTCAGCGACATGCTTAGCGTCGTCCGTTTTTGCACACGGTATAAAATGAGCCATTTTGGAGAACCGATCTACCACGACAAAGATGGAGTCCTTATGATTTATCTTGGGTAATCCTAGGACAAAATCCATCGATATGTCTATCCATGGGTGTGTAGGGATCGGTAATGGCATGTATAGTCCATGAGGATGTACTCGAGATTTCGCCCTATGGCACTCGATACACTTAGCACAATACCTCTGAACATCTCTTTTGAGATGTGGCCAATAAAAGTGTTCTTGTACGATGGCTAACGTTTTATCTACTCCGAAATGACCAGCTAAGGCACCACCATGGGCCTCACGGAGTATCACATCTCGCATCGATCCTTGAGGGATGCATAATCTCTTATCTCGGAAGAGATATCCATCGTGTAAGAAAAATGGTTCATGTGCTCCATTCCTACATTCTTCTACGATGGCTTTGAAATCATGATCGGTCGGATATCGTTCTTTGAGAAGTTTGAATCCTAGCATTCAAGCCTCCATGACCAATAATAATACATGTCTTCGAGACAATGCGTCGGCTACGACGTTTTTTTTACCCTTCTTGTATTTTATGATGTAAGGGAATGTCTCGATGAATTCCAACCACTTAGCATGCATTCGCTTAAGTGTGGTCTGTCCCTTAAGGTGTTTTAAGGTTTCATGATCCGAATGCACCACAAACTCCTTGGCTAACAAGTAATGTTGCCAAACCTCTAAAGCTCTCACCAAAGCGTATAACTATTTGTCATAAGTGGGATAATTAAGAGTGGCCCCACTGAAAATATGGTATGGGCCCTCTTCTCTTGCATTAGGACAGCTCCTATGCCGATTCCCGATGCGTCGCACTCTATTTCAAAGGTTTTGTCGAAGTTCGGAAGAACTAAGACGGGTGTGCTAGTGAGGCTGTCCTTTAGAGCTTTAAACGCTTTCTCTTGTGCTTCTCACCATTCAAATGTCACGTCCTTCTTTATGACCGCGGTAAGGGGAGCTGCTATACTACTAAAATCTCGCACGAATCGACGATAGAAACTAGCCAAGCCGTGAAAGCTACGCACTTGTCCTATCGTGGTAGGAGTCGGCCAATCCCTAATGGCTTTTATCTTTTCTTCGTCAACTCTCAGCTCTCTCGAACTGACCACAAAACCTAAGAATATTATCTCGTCCGTACAGAACGAACATTTCTTTAAGTTCGCATATAGGTTTTCTCTTCTAAGTGTGGTCAATACTTGTTCAAGGTGGGAGACATGGTCCTCTTCACTTCGACTATAAATGAGGATGTCGTCAAAGTACACCACCACGAACTTTCCTATGAAGGCTCTCAAGACATGGTTCATGAGTCTCATAAATGTGCTCGGGGCATTAGTTAGACCGAATGGCATAACAAGCCACTTATAAAGACCTTGTTTGGTCTTGAAGGCGATTTTCCATTTGTCGCCCTCTCTCATCCGTACTTGATGGTAACCACTCTTTAAATCGATCTTTGAAAAGACCGTGGCTCCACTCAATTCATCAAGCATGTCATCTAGCCTAGGTATGGGATGCCTATATTTAACCGTTATGTTGTTTATCGCTCGGCAATCCACACACATGCGCCAAGTCCCATCTTTCTTTGGTACTAAAAGCACCGGAACCGCACATGGACTAAGGCTTTCTCGGATGTAAACTTTGCTCATAAACTCTTGGATTTGTTTTTCGAGCTCCATAGTTTCTTCGGGGTTCATCCTATAGGCTGGTCGGTTAGGCAAAGGTGCACCGGGTACGAGATCAATTTGGTGCTCTATCTCTCGTATCGGTGGAAGCCCAACCGGTATCTCATCGGGGAAAATGTCCTTGAACTGCTCAAGAAGTCGGCTTATAGAAGGGCTATCATGAGATGTTTCAGTCCTTATGCTCATGAGGTCCTTGAAGACTAAGAGAAGGACATTTCGTTCTTGTCGAATAGCCTTACCGACTTGACTAGCTTTGAGATAGAAATTAGCCTTCTTTGGCTCACTTTCCTTAGCTAGTTTGAGCTGCATCTCATGCACTTGAGATGGACTAAGAGGTGCTAGCACAACCTTCTTTTTGTTATGAACAAAAGAATATTGGTTGGCTCGTCCGTCATGTGTCACCTCTCTATCAAATTGCCAGGGCCTTCCTAAAAGTATGTGGCCGGCTTGCATAGGTACTATATCGCAAAGCACTTCATCTTGATACCTTCCTATGCTAAACGGAATCTTGACCCTTTCAGTCACTTTAATTTCCCCTTGGTTGTTTAGCCATTGAAGTTTGTACGGGTGGGGATGCTTCTCGGCTACTAGTCCTAATTTCTTGACCATATATGCACTAGCAACGTTTGTGCAAGACCCGCTGTCTATAATCATACCGCATACCTTTCCTTGGACGGTACAGCGAGTATGAAAGATGGTTTCTCTTTGGGCCGTTTCGTCCAGGTTAGCTAACGTACTAAGCACTCGCCTTGTGACTAATAACTCTCCGCTATCCGGATACTCGATCTCCTCTTCAAGTTCCCTATTCTCTTCCTCATCCATAGACTCGTACTCTTTTTTGTCCGTAATAATCATTACTCGAGAGTTTGGGCATTCACGAGCTATGTGACCTCTACCTCGACATTTGTAACACATGATTTCGCGGGTCTTAGTGTCACGAGGCATTTCACTAGAGGGTTTTGCTCGGGAAATTTCGGTGGCCTTTCCTTTATCCCGTGCTTCTTGGGGACCTCTACTCTCAGGGTTCTCTCGTCTAAGAGGTGGGGAGGGTCTGGTCATAGTGGAGTTTCCGGTAGGGTATGCTCGAGTCTTACTAAGCCTAGCGTTCTTTCGCTTTTCTTGTTGCTCGATCTGCACGGCTAAGTGTACAAGATCTTGAAGGTCACGGTACAGATGGCGCTCAACTTTTCGAGCAATCTTTTCTTGCAGTCCATCTACGAACTGGGCCATCACCGTTTCCTCATCTTCGTCCAGCTCGAGTCGGCTCCTAATATGTTCGAATTCCTCGAAAAATTCTTCCACCGACCTAGTCCCTTGGGCTAGACGTCGATACCTTCTTTGAAGGTCTCTATGGAAGTGAGGTGGAACAAAACGCTTTCGCATGAGATTCTTCATCTCACACCACGTTTCAACCTGAGCGTAATGTCCTCGTCGACGTTCGGCTACCTCACGGTCCCACCACGTTAGAGCATTCTCGGCTAGTTGGGCGGCAGCATATTGTACCTTTTTACGCTCCGAATATGAATAACATTCGTAAATGTTATCCATCCGTCGCTCCCAATCTAGATATGCCTCGGGGTCTACCTTTCCTAAGAAAAGAGGAAGTTTAAGCTTAAGCTCATTTTGTCCTCGATGAGCTCGGGGTTGGGCTCGGTAAGGTTCATCTAAGTCGGGGTCATCGTATCTACGGTTCTCCCTATTCCTCTCTCTCGGTAACGCTCGTCTAATAGGTAGCTCATCACGATCAGAATCCTCATCCTCTATTCTACGTCTCGGTCTAGGGGCTCTAAGCCTTTGCGGCTCGTCATAATCCGATTCTTCTTCATGTACTCTAGCTCTTGCCCTTTGCCTTGAGGGGCCAACATGTTCTCGTGTATCTACTTCCTTACCCGGTCTCACTTAAGTCCTCGACTCCTCTATCTTGTCTAGCCTATCCATAATCTGTCTAAGGGCTTGGAAGATATCGTTTTGGCTAGAGCTGACCTCGGCACCAACATTTGTTGCATCGTTTACACTCATCGCTCGTTTACAACAAGAATGAACGTGCAAGATAGCAAACTATTTTGGACAGCAAACAACGTTCAATTTGAACAAGGAATCAGCGTTCGAACAATCACCCTAATCACGTTTCTAAGCTATATTCAACGTGCAACACACAGCAAAATCAAGCAACTTATATCACTTAAAACGGAACTCAAACACAATGCAAAACAGATTCACGAATGATGATCACGCCAAATGAATCCAAATGCGATTTAAGATCAGGTTTTGGTCCGAAAATGTTTCTATATCAACTTCCTATCGATTGAGCAACAAATTAACAGTCTATAAGCAGCAATTTGATTGTTCAAACACAGAATTTCTGCAACTTATAAACAAAAATGAACAACAATCAACACAATCAGATTATAGGAAGATGAACAGCCACTTTTGATTGGAATTTCGATCTGAAGGTGATGTGATTTCGATTTGCACAGTATATAGATGGATAGATGATTGAATTACGAACAAATGAAGATCAAATTCGTCTCAAAACGCAGTCAATAGCCCACTCAAATACAAACAGAATTCTGCACACACCGAAACAGATTTTTTCGAACAATACGAAATGAAAACATATAGAGATGGAAAGATATCACCGAGGGGAAGCTGCGACGTCCTGTGGATGGTTGAAACTCTGATACCAAAATGATGTAAGCCTCTCACGTCCCAGCAAGCAGCGGAATTTGACAGCACGTTCCAACACCGATCACCCGCACAAGTGCACTCGAACTCGATGAAGGAAACGAAGGATAGTTTTGGATGGTTTGAATGGATGGCTTTAGGATCAATCACAGGCCTAGAATGGCACTCGAACTCAACCCTAAAGTGGTGAAATGGATGAAGAAATGAAGGAGTGATACCCTCGGACGAACCAAGAGTGACGCGTTCTGACAAACCGAAGAGAAAAGTGTGCTCGGACAAACCAAGGCAAAAGAGAATAATTCTCCAAGTAGATTTCGAATAGATCTGATCAAAAATGATCTTCCATGGTTTACAAAGCAGAATATAAAGGAATAAAGATGTTACAACAGCTAGTTTCGTAATTAATGATCAACTCATGCATGAAAAACACAATAAATGCATTGTTTGTCCCAAAACATGTGCTGTCCAATGCCTTGTATTCTAAGCAGCTTCCTTTGTCTTTCTTCAAGCATAATCCACGTCTAGGGTTTCCAAGATAGCCAAGTTGCACATCTTGAATGATCCAAGAGAGATGTCGTTCGGATCGTTGGCTCGGAGTTCGTCCAATGTGCGAGAAACGAACGTATTGATACGTTGCCGTAGAGCTCGGGCCTTGGCTCGAGTAAGAGGTGGTTTGATTCGTGAAGAAGGCACTTGAGACATTCTTGCTTTTGGTTCTCCCTCAATTGTAGAATTGGTCAAGTGTTCTCCTGTGCTATCCGCAAGCTCCATATGCTCCGCAAGCTCTGCAGGCTCCGCAAGCTCCGTGTGCTCCTCCTCGTGCGCCTTGCTTTCGATGTC